AATTCTTTTACTTGTTTAATTTTATTAAAAATATATATTTTTTAATATATCATTTACAAGGGGAAGCTTTGCTAAGAAACAATCTTTCCTTGATTTCAACTGGTCAAAATCTAAAGATCACCCCATACATAATATTAACAATCACCTAACAATGATACCTAATCGATCCGATCCAAGTAATGAGTATACTACACCTAAAAATATTTAATTACTTTACTCCATTGTGAAAATCTTAAAAATTGGCATACTTATTGTGCAATTCTCTCTGATATTTATAACACTTATATCATGCGATCTACATTAATTCTTAACATTTTAAATTGTTGCTGCATTTGTTTTAGATTCATGTATACATATGACATCTATACAGGATCAATGTTTTTTTCATTTACGTTCATTTTATTTCATATTAAAGAAATGTCTTAATTTGCCTTATATAATAAAACAAGCCAGTTATGTCTGTGCATTTTAAATAAGTTTCAATCTATTATTTTGATTTTTTTCCACAAAACTAGAAAAAATATTATGTTATTTGTACATAATTAATTTCATGCTGAAAATACTCTTCAAATGAATAGACGCATGTACATGGATAGTGAGTATTTAGTGTTTTTCATAATTTTTTGGTGAAAAGTAAGGGTTTTATAGCGTTAGATTTGGATTTTAATGATTAGAGAGTGTTTGAGGTGGTGGGTGGCTGAAAAATGAAATCAAAAGGAGAAAAGTGAGAAAAATATAAAAAAGTCAGTTTTAAGTTCCAGGGGTGTAAATTCGCAGATTATAACTTGATTTTAGGTGAAATATTGAGGTTTTGGTCGGAAAAAAAATGACGGTTTTGAGGATGGTAAAAAAATAGTAGGATTTTATTGTTTTGGAGTGCTTTTGGCCATATTTTTTAGGTGAAGTAAAAGGAGAGAAAGAAGGGGTGAAGAAAAGGAAGAAAGAAAACAGAACAGAAGAAGAATAAAAGAACGAGCTTGGTGCATGGGAGAGAGGGTAGTAATAAGTTGGTGACTTGAAGGGTACTTTTAGAATAAAATTATTATGTACAAATCAGGTAATATTTTTTTATGAGTTTGTCCGAAAAAATCACTAAAATTATAAATTAAAAACTTACTTAATATACAATAACATAATTCACTTATTTCAAAATACAATGACAAATTAAACACTTATCAAATTTTATAAAGACAAATTAAACTATTTTTTATGTTTTTTTAATAAGTAAAAAATGAATAGAATTTTGCTATGTCATAAATAAACCCTTTTTTTAATTTATCTTTTGAAATCTTCTACCGGTCATCGAGCCTGTAGTAACATGATCTCTTTGGGTTTTCCCCTGCTCTATACGTTTGAAAATGTTCTATCAGGTGTTTCCGTTTGTACTAATAAGATAAAGGACGAATCTTTTCATCTCATTAATCTGTATCAAGCTTCAGCATGTTTTGTAATAAAGGGCCTCTGGCTAATTATTCCTCACTAAATTTTGTTTCATTGCGAGACAAAATTTGGCTAAACTACTTCATGTGATGCCCATCAGAGGATTGTGTAGTGCTTTTTTTGGCAAATTTTATATCATCCATCATTTTCCTATATTTTTTTCTTTGCATATATAATTTGGATTTATTTATTTATTTGTTGTTGTTATTATTATTTGTGTGAAAATTCTCATCCATGTTTGCCTCCTACATTTTCAGGAGGCATCAAACCGATCAATAATGAGGATTCGATAGGTATTGGGTGGGCCGATAATTGTTTCTATGTTGTTTTATTTAAGCAAGCCCATATTCCACATTACTGACTACTTGGGCAGTAAAAGGGCCCATTGGGAAATCTCGGCAATAGTTAAACACACGAACCGAACGTGCCAGAAGAAGTCTAGAATATTCTCTCACAGGCAAAAGATAACGATATCAGCCCCGAAAGTACTAGAACGCCCCTGACCCCTCCCTCTAACTGCTACAAATACCCCTCCCTGGATTCTTATCCGCGCCATCCGATCCGAAACAATCACAGCAAATTCTAATACAGCACGAGATTACCATTCTTCTGCATTCAGGCTTTGATCACAAACGAAAGCAAAATGTCGATGATTCCAAGTTTCTTTGGCAATAGAAGGAGCAACATCTTCGATCCCTTCTCTCTTGACGTTTGGGACCCTTTTAAGGATTTCCCTTTCCCTTCCTCTTCCTCTTCCTTCCCTCGTGATGAAAACTCTGCTTTGTTAACACTCGCATCGATTGGAAGGAAACCCCAGAAGCCCATGTTTTCAAGGCCGATCTTCCTGGGCTTAGAAAAGAGGAAGTGAAGGTCGAGATCGAAGATGACAGGGTTCTTCAAATCAGCGGAGAGAGGAATGTGGAGAAGGAGGACAAGAACGACACTTGGCATCGCGTGGAGCGGAGCAGTGGCAAATTCTTGAGGAGGTTTAGGCTGCCTGAAAATACCAAGATGGATCAGATTAAGGCTTCTATGGAAAGTGGGGTTCTTACTGTGACTCTGCCAAAGGAAGAAGCCAAGAAACCTGATGTTAAGGCTATTGAAATTTCTGGCTGAAATTTGATAAGGATAAAGAGCATTTGCTGTCTGGGTTAATGCTTTTGTCTTGCGTTGGGTGATGTTCCATGAAATGTAGTGTCTCTAATGTGGGGTTGAATGTCATGTAATATGTTATGATGAAGTATGAATGAAATTAGTTTGTATTTTCTGTAACATGCTCTAGCTTTCCAGTAGTCGGCTTCTTGCCTCTCCGCAGAGGATAAATAGCCTAAATGATATTAAATTAAAAATAAAAAATAAAATTGTATCTAATTCAATATTTTTTAATGAAAATTTTATTTATGTTTTATGCTTATTATAAATTTTAGTGTTAAACTTAGATATACATTATTTTTAAATAAATATATGTTATAATATAAATAAAATTTTTAAAAATATTTTTTATAACATCACATATAAGAAATAAAACAATATTGAATCAATATTGTATACAAATTAACTAATTAATTTTTTAAAAATATATGTATTTGATTTATTATATTAGAATTATTAAATGGTTTTTAAAAATATTATTTTAATTATTTTATTTTAAAAATTAATTTTAGAATATTAAAAAATTGGATCATTATCCAATATGAATTAAAAAATATTTTTCAAAAAAATTAAATTATGAAAATATATTAAAGTTAATAGAATGTAATAAAATAATTAAAAATTTTATTTTGATATAATTTGATTATATAACAATAAATAAATAAATAAAACATATGAATTTTATTATTTTTAATTGATAATTTATTTTTAAAAAAAAACTAATTGCAAAATCTATATATAAAAAAATAAATTATATTTATTAATAAATAAAATTATATATAATTGAAAAATAAAAAAATTAATTTTATGATAATTTTTATAAAAAAGTAGAAAGATTAATTTTAAATAATAAGAATAATATAATACTATATATATGTTAATTTAAAAATATAAAGAGTTAAAAATATCTTTTGAAAACATTTAAAAAAAAATTAAAAATAAAATATCAAAATAAAGTGAAGTAAAAATATGAAATCGTCAAAAATATGTTTGAAAAGTAACGGCTAAAAATATCTTTTAAAACATTAAAGATCAAAATTAAATATAATACAAAGTCTACATATAAATATCCAAAAATATTATCCTAAAAAGTACTAAATTTGTCATCTAATGAAGAGTAATTTGTGAGACTATTCCCTCTCTCCATCCCTTTTAGATATTTTTTGCTAATAAACAATCTACGGATAGAATATAAAACCTTATTGTACTTTGAGTTTCATTAATGTATTTATACACATTCCACGAAAAAAAAAGGTATAATTTTTCACACGCATATTGTATTATGATTTCAATTATTTTTCTTCATACATGTCTATGTATTTTCTTTATTTTGCTTTCGAAAGTACAAAAATATATACAAAAGATCAAATTTTTATATAAAAGTATTTTGAAAAAATGAAGGAGAAGAAATGCTAACAAATCGGTGTTGTAACAAACTTGCATCTATCGTATCCACGTGGGTTTGACATTCTACTTTATCATTGAAGATTAACTTTCAACTGGGGCTGCATAGATGTTGAAGTCTTAAAATAGTCATGTAAGAAATTAGAATATTCAATTCTACATGGGACTAGACATTTAGCAAGATCCACACTCCCAATTTTGATAAAATTATTTTATTGACTGGTGATAACCTATATAATAGATAGTATCTTGTTAGTTGGATCATATAAAAATGACAAATTATTGAATTAGTGACTTCATGATCATCAAAGGTGTGTTTTAGTAAAAATGCTAAAATGAGTCAATATGGACTGTATTTAAAGCATGAGAAGCATGTAAATCCATCTATCAAAGCTTAAGAGATTGATCCATGCATCATTGAAGAAAATCACAACCTATAATTGAATATTTACAATGCTTGTCTCGTTTTCAAAAACAAAACGAGGGAGGGAGGGAGAGGGAGAGAGAGATTAAAGTTTCTTGTTTATTCTTGCTAATCAAGCCAAAAAGGAGAATCATGAGAGAGGGAGATGCCAAAATGTTGTACATGTAGCAACAATGAACATTACTAATACTACCGAGATTAAAATTATGAACAACAAATGACTCCTGTAGTTGAAGAGAGAATATTAAAATGCTGAGACCAATTTAAAATTAGGAACGAAATGAAACAGTATATTACTAAAGATCATCCAGCATAGCCATAACTAACACTTCCCATCAACTATCTAATTTCTACACCCATTCACCAAACTCCAAACCCATCTAGGAATTGTACTTTATCCACCCAAATAAAAAGGAAATAAGAAAAGAAACAAATATTTTAAGCAAGACACGGGACTGGGCTCATGGGACACTCCTATTCGGCCAGTAAGATCCATGTAATGCTTAAGTAACAACTTAACCTGTATTAGTTAGAGGCAGACAAAATTTTCCAACTGCCACTATCACATCTGTTTGCTAATCTACAAGTACTGTTCTTGTATCCTGGCTCGGTTCTCTTCCCACCACAACCTTGCCTGCGTTTCTCCAAATCTTTCTCGGCTGCATCAAGCATATAAAAAAGAATTTTACCTCCACATCGACAGATGATTATTTTAAAGCGCAAAGTAAATACAAATGTCTGCGTGGTTGTTTCATACACGGGTAAAGACCAGATCACTGAAATTTGAAAATATAAAACACTGTCCATTTAACGGTATGATATCAGCAGGAGAACAGTGTCATCACAAATCAAGGCTAAAATAAGGCCTTGATTTCTAGATCATCCATGAGAGATCCGCACGACTCCATGGCAAATTTTATCCAGGCCACTAAGATTATCAAGACCATTATGATAGATGGCTGGAGCCTGGAGCCAATAGGAGAAGAAGGATTTGACAAATTATGTTTTATAGCTCCAAAACTCTTCTAAATCAAATTAATAAGCCCCATCTACTATGAATTGCCTTGTTGAGTTGTTGCTTTAGCTCAATAAGGTAGATGCTTGATAAGTCAGGTCTGTCGGCAATGATCTCATTCAGTTATAGTTTCAAATAACTAAAATCATGAGCAGCAAAAATTTCATCATTTTGCTAAATTATTAAAACCCACTAACCTGAACCTGACACGTCTAAGCTCCCTAGTGCCACCTGGAAGTGCTCTGATGGTGATGTATACCCCTGGTTCATCCTGTTCGACCCATTCAGTCTCCATATCACTTGCATTGCTGATGGAAAATTCTCCTGAGCGATCTGATTCTCTTGACATACTAGTCCTCACAGAACCATCTATCGATGATGTCTCCGTTTTAGCCCCGACAATGCTAGAGAGCTTTGGTGTTGAAGCAAGAGCAGCTGACTCATAATGTTGGTGGGATTGCATTGGGTGGTGGTCAAGCGAATCTGATGAAGAATAACCCATTCCTGTTGGACGGTGAAAATTGCATGAGCGTTCTTTACCTAGTGGGGGAGTCATGGGACCGTCTTTGGCAGATTCGGGCTTTGAGCTCTGCAAAAGGAGATGAGGTAAAATTAAACGATCAAAATAGTTCTATCATCAATGTCAGTTTTACAAAGTACAATGAAGTAACTCTCAGCTCCAAATACCACTGACATCCTATATAACATGAAATCCCACAAAACTGAAGTTCATCAAAAAGAACAAAGGACTCCAACAGTGTAACAAGATTCATGCTAATTACTATAGATTTGACAATGCTTCATTCCAGCAAAAATCGGAAGCAAGTATTTGCCATCCCTAACCACATGTTGCCAAACTCAAAATTTAATTCATACTCACCTCATCTTCAGATCTTGGTGGAGTTGGAAGTGGGACTGCTTGGTGATTGAACTGTCGAACATTGTATAATTCCATGACCTTGTCATAGTTCTCAGCCCACCACCTTTGAGCTTGCCATTTGTTGAACATTTCACGACTGATCAAAGCATCAAAAAGTCAAAAAGATGAATAGGACCTGTCACCATCTATGCATCCCTAGAAAAATGTTGGAGAACGATGAATCATCCAATTTTTTCTGGTATTAAAATTTTAAGGCCGCTGATTATTGATGGTCACTCAGCTAACAGGTTTGCATGGCTATTGTATGAGGGAAGCTAGTTTATCTTCACAGAAAGAAACAACGGACGATATCATCATAATTCAAAACATCATATCTCATTACTTATGAGGAAAACAAAAAAATAAACAACAAATAAATCATATAAAATTGAGAACGTCATAAACATGAATTGTTGCATAACTGTAATCAGGTTGGTATGACAACACATGAATCTTGTTAGGGTGAAAAAAAAAAACTGTATATGTTTAGAGACAACTGAAAACAAAAGGAGTAAAAAGAGCCTGCCTAAAAGTAGCAGATCTTTCATTACAGCAACTGGTGGATTGTTGCTCATTTCATTCAACATTTAAAACTGCAAGTAAACTATTGCAAATTCAGATTGAGACTTGAATAATTAAGTGATATAATTTCTGGCACAAACTCAATGCAGTGCACTGTAGTTTGGCCACAGATTTCTCAGCAAAGCATTCTCAAGATCAAGTAGTGCACAAGCCAGGGTCATGAAACATGGAAATCCTTGCAAGTGTTAAGACTATTATATAGCTGCAATTCGCATTTGCACGAATAACATTGTATCTGTCTATATATAATGATGACGATCAGCTAATTTGATATTCACAGATGATGAGAAGATTAGAAAAGTTTTTGTTGTTTTTCAAGTGCCAAGGATATGATAGGTTGAGCACAAAGAACCAACCAAGAAGAGTGAAAAAAATGGAGACTTTCTTCCTTCATTGGGGAATCTTGCTTATTCAAGCCTTCTGGATTTGTGAGCAATATTCCTCACTAACTCACGATTGTTGGATAGAAGGTGATCCCTAAACTAGCCCATTAAGACGCATTCCCCAGAAATTCCACAAGTCATAACACAGAACGGTGTTTATAATTCTTCAAAGTACTCGATTTCTTTTTTCTTTTCTATCTTTTCATTTCTCCTTGGCACAGTAGAGAATGGTGAATGATTCCAAAAAGAATAAGAAGTAGGGGAGCAAAGTATAATGCATCTACAGTGTAATAAAGTCCAGATTGTGTTGTGGATGGCTATTTTCAATAGACGATGTGATCTCCTAGTTCACAGCATTCAGGACACAGAACATACAAGGTACCCATACCCACATGCACATCAGACACATTTGAATTCACTGATCAGGTTCCTACATGTTCTACTGTTATGGTACAGCTGACTGACAGGTTTTTGTTCTCTGCAGCATCTCAGATACCAAAGTAAATCATAAACATGCCTACATAAAGGATAGGATGCCATCTCCCAATATACCAATGTAAGAGTAGAACACAAGAAAAAGGTTCTAATTAGTGTTTAACCCTTAATTTCAATCAGATACCATTCAAGATGAAAAAGCTGTGATACATTGTAAGTGAGACACACACTTCATATTTAGAGGTCACCCAACCTTATTGTTAATGTGATAGAAAAACCATCTGTATGCAAATTTCCTATAGTACTCACACCTACATGATGAGCTCGACCATCGTACCAGGAACAAGAAAAAGTTCAAACTATAAAGGGCAATCTAAGGATGGTCCAATTCCAGTTCCCACTTCCACGCCAACAAACAAACAAAAGAACTTTCAGCATCTAGAAAGAGGTCAGATACAAACAACAATCTCAACATGGCCCAATGCCCCCCTCCCCAAGACACAAAGCCATAAAACAAGTGATTGCATTCAAACAAACCAGATGAAAAACAAACAAAATAAAAGTATAGCATCAGTACCTGAACCGAATCCGCTTCAGATCATTACCACCCTCAGGCAATGAAACAAAAGTGATGAGAACACCAGGCTCAACTTGTGCAACCCACTCCTTAGGCTCATCTTCCTCCATAAATACCACAGACTCTGTCCGCCCACTTACTGAAGCAGGTGTGCCTTCACCACTTGATTGCCCTTTTAGTTTTGCCACCGTCTCTTTCCCTAACATTCTTGGGGTCGAATTGGAACTGCCTGTTCTACGATACGAGCAGTGGAACCTTGCCGAGTCTGAGGCAGCATCAGACTCAGCATAGTTCCTGTTATTGTTATTGTTCGAGGATCCTGAACATGGCTTGCAGTTTCTATATGCTCCTGAGGCCTTTACTGCCATATCCTTTATCTAAAAAAAATAATAACAATCCTTTATCATTTTGCAATAAAAGGGAGACAAAAACACTAAATTCCGGTTCTAATTCTATTCACCCTCCTTTTGTCCCCAAAATTTATAAAATGAATTTAAGAAAGCCATATGGCTGGTCTTGGTTCCAATTCATGAAAAACTCAAGCAAATCAATACTTCTAATTTTTTTTTCAAAAATAAATTTGAAAGAAGTACCGTTGTGCCATACAGTAGTAAATCAGACCCATATCTCGCAGTGACTAATACCAATTCTTCTTCCTCTGTTTTTGTTTCCGACATGTGTCAATTTAGCATAAACCATCCCCTATACTCGGTTACCCCTTGAAGAAAGCCAAAGGGCAGGGAAGGAAAAAGAAAGGCAAAGAAAATTTTGGGTTTTGTAGAACTAGACAAGAAGAAAAAAACAAAAGAACAATTATGAGTTTGTTGTTTCATGCTATTTTTGCCAAAAATAAAACATAACCCCTCGAATCCAGATTGATAAAACAGACAGTATAATTCAACTTTTTCCGTAACTAAATGCTTTGTTACTTTCTGGGCTTCAGCTCCAAAAACAAAAGAAATTTAAAAATAAAACTCAAATCTCTGACTCTACTACAGCAATCAAACAGAAGACAGAAAGCTGAGCGAAGGAGAGCAAATATAGATAGCTACATACTTGAGCAGTGAGAGCCTTGATGGCCTGCTTAGTCCTGGGCGTCTCAAAAACAGCAACATCGTCATCCTCTTCTCTCTCCCTTTGTTGCAAAGATCCATTGTTAAGTTGCTTTGAACACGCAATACAAGTCAACATCCCCTCGATTTCTCTACACCTACAATCTACCTAACCCAAACACAGATCAGAGGCGCATATACATAAAAAAGAAAAAACAACTGTAGACCAAAATGAGCTACATATTCCATATATAGTCAATGAACGCAATGCTTACAATCAGAAAAAGGAAAGATTGAATTGCAGATGGGTTCGTTCTATTTGAGATCCCACGGTTTACTTGGCAAAATAAATGTCAAGAGAGAGAGAGAGAGGAGAAGTGACCGTTAATGGAGGAATGAGGAATGGTTTTGAAGCAATTTGTGAAGTGTTAATAAAAAGAAAAAAAAAACGGACTCTTTCCTTTGAAAATACTTAACTCTTCACTGCACTACACTGCCAGTTAGAATGAGTAACAGCTAAGAAATACTACGAAAGAAAGAAAGAAAGAAACACACATCGCCTTCCATCTCTCTCACACACAAGAAAAGCACATTCCATTCTCTTGAATATGTGTATGCGCAAGTGGGCAATGTGAGGGAGTAAGAGTCGAAAAGGTTAAAAAAGAAATTATTAGTTCGATTCCAGCCTTCCAGGCTTTAAATTAGGTCAGGGTATCTATGAGTAAATTATATATTAGTCCCTCTAGTTTTATAAATTGAATTAAATAATCTCTTTTGTTTTAAAAATTAATTAAATAGTCTTTTAATCAGTATTGATCATGATTATTTTAATATTATTTTATTTTTAAAATATCTTTTTTCATCAATTTTCTATTTTTTATTTATTAGAATAAAAATAAAAATGATTAATTTATGAATAAATTTAAAAATATAAAAACTAATTAATTATTTATTGAAATTAGAGGAACTATTAACTCTTTTGTAAAAAATAAAGGGACTGGTTTATAATTTACTCCGGTATTGTGTTTTTGAAGAGGCAAAGGGAGGTTGTGTGATGCGTGCGTGCGTGCGCGCGAGCTTTTGTTTTGTGTTCTTTTTGGTTTGGGTTCTTGGACGTGTCGTTCGTTTCTTTTCTTTTCAGCGTTTGCATTTACTTTGGGTTTGCGCCACCCTAAAGAGAAAGTGAAAAAGTGAAAAAGTGTCACACTCTATCGTCTATCAGTAGTAGTTAGTTGATGCATTTTAGGCTGATTTTCTTGATTGCTAGGGATCCTTTTACTTTTGAGCTTCGTTTGGCTTCTGCCTTCACTTTTTATCTAGGCTACCACACTAGATTAGAGTTAGAGGTCTATTTGAACATGCAAGGCTTATAATCAAAGCACTCTTTTAATTGCTAGTAGGACAAGCATTAAAAATATGTTTTTTTTTTTCCCAATAATCAACCTTTACCTTATGTTCCTTGGTAAAAAGATGAAATAAGGCAAACTAAACAAACTTAGGATGGGCAAATACTAGTACATCTAAATCAACATCATATAAGCTAGCAGGAGGAAAGTCCCAAAAATGAAAAATTATTGTACCAACCCAACTTATACAGGATTGTTAATAAAACAATTATTATATACATCACATTGTGTCTGCTAACAGAAATTTTCTGCACTCCATGGAGAGCTCGCTCTTGGCCTCTGGCTGGCTTTAAGTTCTATCAATTCATAGGCGAAAAGGAGTCTGAATGAATACAGACAATGATGATGGTGACGGGTACTACCAGGAGCACTCATGAAATTCTTATTCGGGAAAAAGCTGCCCTCTATTTGTTGCCAACTTCTACACACTGCTAAATTCAGTAAATCGCATTTGGGTCTTTGCAACAACTAGAGGGGGTCCATGGGAGCATTTCTAGAACACGTCTTTTGTTATCTGCCTTCTCACCAAAAGTTACCGTCATACTTTACAGAAACCCATTCCTTCCATTAAGGTTTCAAATTAAAGCTGCAAACGAGTCATATAAGCTCTTATCTCACCAAGGCTCAACTACTGTTGTTTTGTGGCTGTTTTTCTTTCCAACATTATACTTCATATATATGATTTGTCGTGTGATTAAGGAATCACTTGAATTATCTAATAATTTTTTTTTAATTCATACACAACAGAATCAATCTATTAGGATTTAAATTCGTAATCTCTTATTATAAAAAATTATTATTACTAAATTATAAATTCTTTGATAATTATCTGAAGACTTAAATGCATATCTCGAAACTTAATTTTCAATAACGCTAGCTGCAACCAACAATTCCATGTTCTGATTATCTATGCAGCCGCCGCTCATCAATTCATAGTCAAAAAGATGCTAAGAACAAATGGAATTGAATTGTACAACATTAGCCAGACATGGACGGAATACTGATTGAACTGGATAATTGCTATCAAGATTCAAGAGCGGATGAAGTTTTCTTTAAAATTTTATTTGGTCCGTATCATATTCTCAACATTTTATTTTAGTCCATGGCATTTTAGTACTTATTTAAAAATGGTCCTCTTATATTTTGGAATATGTAATCTAGTCCTTGAATTAGACCAAATAAATTTACAATTAAGCTCTTACATGTAAATTTTCATTTTAATAAAATCTGGTAAACTTAGTCCAGATTTAGTCAACCAAATTAAAAAGTAAATGAGTGATAGATAAATAATGAAAATCCGAGAGATAATGATTTTGTCTATAGCATTGTACAAGTTTGTTTCATCTTTCCTTGCGGAACAAAAATATTACTTTTGCAACAAATTTGGACAGGACAGAGACTAATTATTGTTATTTAATATGTGTGACACAAAAACTGCATATTTTGTTTTGTCACGTCCAACGCTTATACCGTGCACTATACAATTTGTTATGTATAGACCAATATTATCATGTTAAGCATATCAAACACATCCGAAGAGAACCAAAGTTAATTTGATAAATTAGAGGTTATGGCTTCGATTCGTAGTGGAATCGTCAAAATATGTAGGGATTTCTTGAAAGTAAATCGATTGATTAATCGACAGATCAATTGAAATACAAAAAATTAGTATTATAATTTAAAAAAATAATAATCTATTAATTCAAAATAATCTATATAAATAATGAGAAACGTGAGGAGAAAAAACAAACAGTATTAACAAAATACAAATCAAATTGCATGCATGTGAGTCGTCAACATATAAATAAATAAAGTTTTAAAAATTATATCGTATGAGAGTTTTGAGAAAAAGTTCTGAATAACCAAAGTAATGCAACACATCGAAAATTCAAATTTTTTTAAAATATGAAAAACCACTCAACTCACAATTTTTTGGAGGTTTGTATTTATAGAGGTAAGAGGATAGCCTTTGATCATTAAAATCTTGCTATATCATTTATATTTGAATGGTCGAATTTGAATTAATTTTTCACTTACTAATAAAGGCGAATAAAAATAACAATTAGAATATTACTTTACTCTATCCTCCTTTCATTATATCAAATCAATCTCTCTGCAAAAAAACAAAAAAAAAAGAAGAAGAAGAAGACATATACATCGGTCTACCCACGATATATGCGTCTATACTATATAGTCCAGACTTTATTTTTGAAATGAAATCCATCATTAATTTAATGGATGAGCAATTTGAATCCATGTAAAAACCGAAAAAAATAACACAAAATTGGTTCATATTAAAACCATGAGATGATTCCTTGTTTTCGTAAGGACTTCTCTGGTCAATGTTCAGGCTCAATCACAAAGAGCTGATGGGGTTTAAAAATAATGCAGCAAAGATACAGTCGTGGTGCAGATCATAGTGCCACGTGAATTAGGTATAATTATATGGATATTTATAAATAAATAAAAATTAACAAAAAGGGCTGTAATTTGGAAGTGTTTGAATATACTCACTGACTCACATCTTGAAGCTCCACTGACATCATTCTGTCTCTGGACATGGCGTCCCCTTTGATCATTCAATATCCTCGTATGAGAACTGAAATTCCTTAATCTTATTCTCATTTGTAGTCTTTGATCCAAATAAAGAAAAAAAAAAGTCTTGCTTTCAGGTTCCACACACTCTATATTTTTTAAATATGTATAGTTAAAGTTTAATTCATGGGCTACTTATTCGAGCTAATTAGAATTATGCTTTTAGGGTAATGTATTTTAGATTGATCAAGAGGGTGTACTCGATCTTTTATTGGCTATCAATAGATTCGAACCTGATATGATCAGTGATGTAAGTAAAAAAATGAAAAAATTTAGTTATGTGGTAACTAATTAATATCTAACTGGAGGGACGATTTAAAATTGGGATCCATAAATTTAGTGTGGAGACAATTTTCTGAAAAAAAAAAAAAAAAAAAAAAAAAAAAAGAAGAAGCTAAAAGCTGATTACTATTTACTAAATAAATATTCTAATTTCCCTCTAGTTGTCTAATAATCAATTAAAATGACAGTTTACTTTTTAGCAAGAATTGGTCAAATGATTAAGGAAATGGTTTGTTTTTTTTTTGGTCATTCAAACCTTAGGTTAGGCTAAAAGAAATATAATTCTAATAATTTTTTTTTATTCTCGTATAAATAGTTGGACTTTAATTAAATCGAAAAAATAAACTCACACTTGACACATGCATAAAAATTATTCAAAAAATACCACTAACCATAAAACTCAAAAACTTTAAAACATAACTCGTAAATAATTCATGACATTTATTTATTTTACGAATATAAATTACTGATTATATGTTGTTAACAATCAGGGTAGTTTAATTTGGACAAATTCTGTAAAACAAAACTAACTTGCCATCTACATACAAAATCATACAATCAAGGGAAATTTCTTTCTCACAATCCTTTCTATGATTCAGATTATGGATGAAACGGTGAGAGATAAAATAATTATTAACAATAGTTTTTGCAAAATATTACAAAGCAATTAATGTAAACGAACAGAAAAATGATTATTTCCTTTTTATTTTATTTTTTTATTTTTTGTGAATCAAGATGTTAAAGGTATCTTGAATTATACAGTGTTGATATTCCTTTTTCATCACATTACAAATAAAGAAAACAGTTTCGCTATATAAATATTTAAAGGAAACGTGCCAGTTTAAACTCTACTAGT